TTTTAAATTCGAATATAATTCGAATATTGATAATATTTAAGTAAAAAATTCGAATTTAGTTTTTCAGCCATTTTGACAGCCCTAATGTGCTCGGACCTCTGCAGATTAAAGTGGCTGTTTCTGCGGATAAGGATTGCGTGCGAGCGTACAGACCAGAGGTGAGCTCCAGTAACTTCAACACACTCACGCTGACCATGAAGACCAGCGAACCGGACAGCCTGCTCTTCTACATGGGCAGCAGCAGCGCCAGCGTGAGTCAGATCACATGACTTCACTCTAAAAAATGCTGAGTTTCAAATATGCACAACACACACTGGCCCAGCTGACCAATCACAGCACACACTGGCCCAGCTGACCAATCACAGCACACACTGACCCAGCTGACCAATCACAGCACACGCTGACCCAGCTAGTATGAGAGCCTGTTCTAGTACACCCCCAAAACAAAATCAAGACTTTGTAAAAGAGCGTAATATGACCCCTTTAAAGTGCCCCTATTATGCCTTTTCGAATATTACCTTTCATGCACTGTCATGTAGCTGTATGTGAACATAAACTATCTGCAAAGTTTTGAAGCCGACAGTGCACGATAAATAAAGTTTTTGTCTATCGCTTCGCACGAGTCATTTACGAATCATTTAGAAATGAGGTTAAATGAAATCTATTTTATGAGAAAACTAACGTGTTTTTTGACCTTGCATGCATGTAAACCTGTTTTAGGAGACTCATAAAACAACATTAGCAACCTTAAAAATGGCATAATAGAGGCACTTTAACCCAAAAGTTGGGTTTTAGTCCATATTTGACCCAAAGTTAGGTTGAAACCACCCAGCATTTTTTTAGAGTGTTGAGATCTTATTTTAGTATTATTTATATACTCTTATAATTTTCATTAATGTTTTGGATTACCCTTTATTTTTTTTTATATTTTCATTTTAATTTTTGTTTTAGTAATTTTATGTGCTTTTGTCATTTTTATTTTTTTTGTTGTTGTATTGTATTACTATTTAGGTTTAATTTATTTTTATACCAGTTTTAGTTTATTTTTATTTATTTTCTGTTAATAATTTTAGTGATTCAACTTAAACTTTAGTATTGTTTATATACTATATATTAATATTTATTAATATTTTTAATTGGTTTATAGTTTCATATTAGTTTTATCTCAAGTTTTAGTAATTTTGTTATGTGCATTTTTTAGTTTTTTATGTCATTATTTAGGTTTCATTTATTTTTAGTTCAGTTTTAGTTTTTATTTAAATCCATTTAATATTTCCGTTTTTATTAATATTTTGAATATTTTTATATTTTCGGTTTTAATTTTTGTTTGTTTTAGTAATTTTATGTGCTTTTTTTATATAATATTACTATATAGGGTATTTTATTATTTCAGTTTTAGTTTTTATTTATTTCCAGTTAATACTTTTAGTGATTCAGCTTAAACTTTATTGTTTATATACTATCATAGTTTTTATTAATATTCTAAAATAATTTTATTGCAGTTTTAGATTTATTTTTAGCTCAGTTTTAGTTTTTATTTATTTCCAGTTAATAATTTTAGATTGAACTTTAACCTTAGTTTTATTTATATACAATTATAATTTTTAATAATATTTAAAATTTACTTTTTTATTTTTTTTATTTATTTATTTTTGTACAGTTTTAGTAATTTTGTTACATGCTTTTGTCATTTGTATTAGTTGTTAGGGTTTTTAATATTTCTATGTAGTTTTTATTTTTTTAGTTCGGTTTATTTCTACTTTATTTCAGTGATTAAATTTTTTTTGTGTTGTAGTATTATTGTAGTTTTTATTAATATTTTGAATTAGCTTTTATTTTTATATTTTCAGTTTTCATTTTAATTTTAGTTTAGGTTTTAGTAAACAACTTATTTCAGTTTCGGTCATTGCAACTGAGAAAAATGTCTTCATGCGTGCAGTATATTTGTATGTATATTCCAATGTTTAAAGTGCATATTCATATCCACATCAGGAGGATTTTATGGCTTTGGAAATGCATCATGGGAAGGTGTCCTTCCTGTGGGACACTGGCTCTGGACTCACCAGACTAGAGTATCCCAGCGTTCAGATCAACAATGACAAGTGGCACAGGATCAATGCGACGCGGTTCGTGACTCTCAGTGCTGATGGGACGTTTCAGTTCTTCCCTTTGAACGACAGACTCTGACATCTCCTGTACTGTAATGTTAGGTTTGGGAGACACGGGACCCTCACTGTCCAGCAGACGGACTCTGAGCCGCTGCCCGCAGTGAAGACCACAGCGTCTGGGTCCTCCACCGTCATGGACGTCAGCAGATCCACCTGGGTGTTCGTCGGGGGCCTCGG